AATGCCACACGTGATAGTCTATCCGTAATAACAATATTCGTATCTTGTTATTACTTCGGCCCCAGACTATTTAAGATTCAGTTATATGTAATTTGTATCTCACAATCACAATTCCTTGTAATTACCAAATCACCAAGACTTAAATATACAGATTCTATTATTTAATTTATTAGAATACTAATTCAATTAAATAATAGATATTGACATACATATGCATCGATTATATATATCTAAAGTGTTTATATCCAAAGTCGATTGGACTTAGGGCATAACACTTACAAAAATAAACACAGGGTTTAACATATAATTTAAGCTAAATATCTTACTAAAATTATAGTTCGTTGGAACGTCTTTAATCTTCAATTCTTAACTACTCAATTTGTGTTGACTTGACATAGTAAATAACATCATCTCATGATGCTGTTGGGACTTAGTGCCACGTAGAATTTAACGTTCATATTTTTTAAAGAGTGACATTATTGTAAACATTATAAACTTGAGTGACTATTGCCATGTAACAAAATTAATTTTGTGACCATTGATGTAATTAGTTGGAACTTCAATGATATTTGATGAAATTAACCCATTATCCCACACATATATTATAATATAAAACTCAATTTTTGTAGAAGATTTAGGAATATGGTGACTAATTTTGCCAATAGGCGTTTTTTGTTTAAATGAATTGTAATATATTTATTTATTTTCACAAAAAAATCCAAGAAATTCATGAATGGTCTTTGTCGAATCGACAAAGTGAACACAGATATGTCCAAGCTAAACATAATTTCCAAGAGAGTAAGTGATATTGCAACATAATTTCCAGGAGTTCGTTGGTCTTCTTCATGAAAATTAAATTATAAGATTTTTTATTTGAATGAAAGTCGATTTGAAATTCTTGAATGGAGCCCACTCGGATACGCAGGAAAGTGTACATGAAATTCTTTGTTGGACTTTTTGGTAGACAAACAAATTATGAAATGGGGCAAGCATGCATCTATGTTAAAATGTACTCGCATTAAGGGTGCGTTTGATTGCAATGGTGGAAAATAGGTGGAAAGAAAATGAATTTTATGGAAAATAATTGCCTAAAAATTGTTTTATAGTGAATTGTTAATTAAGTGTGTTTGATTGGTATAATTTTTTGGGTGGAAAATATTTAAATTTTGTGTTTGTTTGGCTTAATTTTACATGAAAATTATCCATTAAAGTGATTTTTTTTTTCCACAATTGGTTATAAAATTTGTTTCCATTGCCAAAAAGTAAAAAAAAAAAGAAAAAAAAAATGTTTCCTAAAAAATCATTTTTTTCATCAAAGTTTA